AACCTTGGCAATTACTGTGCTTGGGGAAGCGTATTATGAAATCTCTAATATTTAAACCAATCACTTCACTCAAATAATCGGAAGCATAGAATCTCCAAGGCAGTTGATTTCCAATAAAGCGATAATTTGACGCCCTTTTGGGAGGTCAATAATTAACTCTCTTTTAAATAAGCCAGGCGCATGTCAATTATGGACACATTGTGTAGACAAGAGAGAAGGCATATAAGTTCGGAGATATTGGATGAGGTGAGTGAAGAATTTAAAGTGAATAAATCATATGATGTGCTTCGACCTAAAAGGTGGACAATTAAGCTAAAATTATCACTTAGGTCATTGTCAATGCCAAACAATTTGTGCCGTAAGGGTGGAAGGTATTTGCTTCCTCGTTATCTTAATCAAATGAAACCATCTTCACAAATATAAGCACTTTCTGAGAACTCATGCTCATTCTAATTCTTTGAAGACACAGTATATCACCTAAAGTACAAGCAAACCAATACGGGTTCCCTAACTCCCATCCGAACCTCCTATCGGAATGCAATAAAGCGTTCCAAGTTACCACGTGCGTACTGTGTTGAGCCTTAATTATTATTATTTCAAATGGCAGGCATTGTGATATTTATCATTAGCCCTTAAACTGTGACTTCAGCTTCCCCCGAGGGTGGGGTGGGGTGGGAGGTACATTTATAGCAGTTAATTAATAGCAGTTCATTAGCCGTCTTCTTGCTTCCCAGTACCTCTGGCTTTCCGTCGTTGTCTTTAGGGCTGGACATCGAATCAGGTGGGTCTTCTCCATTTCCTCCTGTAGGTTAGATAGAGGGCATGTGGGTTGAGTGTATACTCCCAATCTGTGAAGATGTTTTGCCAAGCAATCGTGTCCGGTACGTAGTCTAAATTCACCAACGGCTTCGATTCTTGGCCAGTCAGCTATATCGGAGAGTGCCACTGTCCACTGTTTCTCCTTTGTTCGACTTTTTAGTTCGTTGCACCTTGAGGTCTTGAATTCTCTTCTGATTAAGGCCTTCATTGTGTGGAAAGATATCGGCCGGTCCATGCATTGCAAAATCGTAGTCCCCTTCTTAGCAAGTGTGTCAGCAAGCTCATTGCATTTAATGCCACAGTGACCAGGAATCCATTGTAGGACCACTGTTTTGTTTTTCTCTCTCAACAGCTCACAGAGTTTTCTTCATTCCATTATCTCAGCTGTTTTGGGTGGCTCTCTGTTTCCAATTGAGTTCATTGCTGACTGTGAGTCCGAAAGTATCACCGCTTTGGTGAATTTCGTACCCAGGCAACATAATTGGCATAGTGCTATCCTAATGGCCTCTATTTCTCCTTCAATAGCGGATCTATTGTGTCCCGCTGCTGCATAGAAAGAGAAGAATTGAGAAAAGACACCTGCACCAATTTTTGCTAGGTTTTCTCTGTATGACCCATCTGTGAAGACTTGGAGCCATTGATCTCCAGGATAGTTGACATTGATTGTCTCAATGGCCAGTAAGCGCATTTGCTCTGAAGGGGTGTTTGATTTTCTGAAGAAGTCAAGCAGTTGTGTGCAACGCACTACATCAGTGTCTGCTAATTGGTTCATGGGGAGAGAGGCTTTTTGGTTTGTCATCGATTAGAAATTCTTTCTTCAGTTCTATGGCTTTCTGTATTAGACCAGATTGCGTTTTCAGATGCCTTGGTCTATTCCCATAGGTGGATGCTTTTTTCAGTTCTATGGCTTTCTGTATTAGACCAGATGCCTTGGTCTATTCCCATAGGTGCTGAAGAACTTATCCGTGAGTGTTGAGCCTTAATAGAAGTAGTTTATATTTCCTATTCGTTTTATACCAAATGATTGTCTAAAATGATTGACTTGTTAGACTTGTCAAATTAGGGTTTCATATGAGAGGGAATGAAAATGAACTTGACTGATTACTGAATTACGAGGTGTCACGCATAAAGAGAGTAAGGGGTCTTTCATGTTTACACTTATTAATTGGAAACGGGATTTCAATTTATAATGTGCATATCAGTCATTCATAGACAGACAACAAGAATCATTGGTTTTATTCTCCGTTAGCGTTTTGTTTCTGCAGTCTGTCTAAACATCTAGTTCTTCTGCATTAGCAATGGGCTTAAATTTTTTCTAAATGTAGTGTAACTCTGAGTGGCTAAGATATGTATAAGTTATTTAGTGATGTTCCTCTGTTTTAAACGTATTATTTCTAACATGGGGTGTGCAATAGACTTACCTGCATGTGGTGCACCCTGGGCAACGTATACTCATACGGTAAAGCAAGTGTATTAACTTGGCACATTCAATTAATTGGAATGCTTAGGCGCGGTTTTGGGATTAAGATACAGACAATAGTCATTCGCAGCTTCAGCAAGCAACAAATATATTTTTAACATATGGAAAAATTTATGCTATTTATCATTGGCGCCTTTGTTGAATTTGGGCGGGGAGGGGGGATAAATATATACATGGGTTTAATACATAGGCTTTTGGGTAGTAAATATTATCCCATTAGTGTGGATCTGAAAGTAAATTCAGGAACGTTTCGTATCTGGCATTTTGGTTAAACATTGAACACAAAATCGATTTTAGAAATTGTTTTCCTCAGTCGACCGTTTAGCGGTTATTTTATTGCACTGGCCTTAATTGTTTACAAATTGGAGATTGTAGTAATTATTTTAAAATTGGGATTAATTCATTCGTCGTTAAAGAATGATAAGATAAGAATTTAATCCATTTTATGCCTATTATCACATCGGATCCTTAATTCAAATAATATTCAACTAGCTTGTCACTATAAAATATTATTAACTTAATGGGACACCATTTGAGTAGGTGTCTTTCAGACAGGGAGAGCGACTGCATAGCCTTCTCCTCAGCAGCGTGATGGTGCGCGATTTCTCGATACATAGATCTAGTTCATCCAACGGTCAAAATTGTAGAAACAGCTTTTGAACAAGCCATTTAATATTCTTCGCGTAATTTTGCAGAAGGCGTTTTATCGCTGGGTACTTGATAATATCATCCCAATCTGGAATGGCCGAGCACGCATTCACGAGATCTGGAACTTATTAAAAATCGCAAACTCACTTGACCATTGCAGGTTGAGGCAATCGATTGATTTCTTAGCGCATGCTGTTGATTGGGCCTCGAATAAAAACAGCAAAATAATAAAAATAAATCAGAAAACAACCAAATACATCCAATTTCTTTTAACCAACCCTAATTTCAATTAGACAAGCAAGAGACCAACCAACTCACCATTGTAGCACTATCTACTTAGTCATATATTAAATCACGATTCTGAAAGCAAATACTATTTTATACTATTGATAGTTCTTTCAAGGTCACCATAAACAACCGCAACGTGTTTTTGTGTCGTGCTTAATGCTAAGCTTAACAATGTTATGACTTGAAACCGCCTTATCCCCAAGTTATGTTTCGGTCGAACTAAATTAATGAGCAGTTGGTGGTAGTGCAATTGCAGCAATTATTTCTATGATAGTTGCTATGGCGTGATCAGAGGTAGCATGATAATCGTGGTTGGCGTGTGGATGAGATGTTTGGGGGAAGTGAGACATGACAGAATCCACGTCTGAACACCACTGAAGACGGGGTTAATGAGAGGGTCGGTAAACCAATTTGCACTCTTCATGCTTTGCAAGTATTCCTTACTGTGGCTAGACTGCAGTTGAGTGTTAAATGATGGCTTGGTGTCTATTTTCCATTTCTCATTTAGACTAATAACCAATGCAAAAGATATCTCATTTAGTGCAAAAACAAATTGTCTAAATATTGCTAAAATTGCAGTAATGCCTTAACAACAACGGTTGAAATGCAAGAAAAAAAGAATTGGTTGGGCTACAGCAATGCACTCACTCGGAAGCATAGAAACGCATGTCACATTGCCTTTTTGTTGGCATTTGGCCTTACTTCATTAACTGAATAAATGCTTCTAAACGCTCTTGGAGTTCTTGTGGGAAGTGAAATGCGATTCTTGCGCACTTTAAGTTTGAACTAGTACCATTTGGGCACGTTATCGGTGTATTTGTCAGTTGGTAGACAATAGCAGTTCCTGTGGTACGTTGCATAATTCCCGATGGATGCTGATGATGAATTCAATATAAATTCGAGTTGTCAATAAGCACTTGCCAAATCAAATTTTGGCAAGGATTTATTAGCATTTATTATTGTGATACTGAGTTCCGGGTACATCAGAGCACACAATATAGCTCCAATGCGGTCTTCTGATGAGACAAGTGGTCAGCAAATAGAGGAAAACGCATATTTGCCTTCTGAATAACAGCACGAACAACCTCGGTGAGGTGCAGGTTGTTTAAGGTGAGTTCTCAGAATAACAGACCTCGTGAATACATGCTCGGTCGTTCGAGGTTGGAATGGTGTTTCAAGTATCTTGTGATTCAAACGTGTCTCCAAGATCAAGTGAGGAATATCAAATGGCCTGATGACAAACTATTTCGAATATTTTGACCGGTGAATTAGTTGGAGCTATGCATAGGATAAACTGCATGTCAACCGACATTCCACTGCTGAGGAGGAGGAGGCTATGCCGTTGCTTTTCTCATCTCGTTTTGGGGTTCTTCGTCCAACATTGGCTGCAATGGAATCCACTTACAAGGGCGGCAAACTGACTGGGCATTAGACCGCCGTTTTAATGTCAATTTTGTGGTTCTCACAGAAGGTAAACTACTTGGAATATCTCGAGAGAGGCAGCACCATTGTTATGCCTCAAAAATGTACACAAGTGTTAACGTCAGTTACATCCACATCGGGAAAACAAAATGGACTGAATCAGTGAAAGCGGAGAACATGAAGTTGTGTTTGTCAACTGAGCTCCTAATGTGCTAAAAATTAGTCTGTCACCACCTAAGGTAGAATAGCGTATAGCTTTGATTGCATTTGGGAACACTGGCTCCAGTTTTGATTCCCCAATGAGTTCCACAGATTGTTTGAGCTCTCGTTATATCTGAAGTAGTAACTAATTGGAGTCGAAACAGAGTCTTGGATTCACAACTAAGTTTGTTCTCGTCATTATTAGCTTGAAGCCGATGGCAAAGAGATAAATATGAAGGCGTACTGAGGAAGAAGTTTTCAAAGGTGCACATTTGCTAACCAACTTTATTCATCATACCCGCTCTAACAGGATGAATTCGGAGTAACGCGAATCAATATGAGGTTCTCGGTGTCTGAGAAGAAAGCTAGATCTCTTTCTTATTCCATTCAATAATTTTCTCACCGTGAGCATGTATGGGCCTCATTACGCTCCACGATTCAATCAATTTGGCTTGTTTAAGGAGTATTGTCACATATGAAACTAGCGTATTAAGCATTACCTTGATCAGGCAAGTCTACTATTATGCTATTGAAAAGTTGTAAGTAGTATTTGTAGCGCCAGCAATATGAGGATAGAAGGAAAAAGATAGAAGGCGGAGAGTAGAGGTGGAAATAAGGGATGCTTTATAAATGTGAGTCCAACTTCTCCCCCCCCCTCTCCTTCCAATTTCCATACACACAATGTATCTTCAACCAAATCAATTTCCATCTTGCAATTAGATTTCTATTTTATCGAGTGTTCTTACGTTCGTCAAGTCAACTTTCATTCAGGCAACGGAAAGTCGCTCTTAAACACAATTTATGTGTAATAGTTGGCACTATGTGTGGACCATTATCAAATCAACTTCAATGGAGAAAAAGAAACAAAATCGGTTTAATAAAGAATGTATTTGTATAAAACAAGTAGATCTCCGAAGGCATTTGCAAAGTTACTTATGTATTAAGGTATCAATTTTGTCACGATAACCTTCTAAACGCCCAATCGATTTGTGCAGCTTTTGAAGAGCTTCTCCACAAGGTATTGAGAAATCACCATCAATTGCGGAACTTCGCAAACGAATTGAGGGGTCAAAATGACTGAGCTGCGATTGTAGAATGCCAGCTTTATTGACAAAGCCGTTAATACTTCTCAGTAGTCTCTCGTACACGTATTTCATGAAACCGAGGGGGTACTTGCTTTCATCAGTTCGCGATCGCTCGTATATGTCGAGTATGTAATCAGATTCCTCGAGTAGGGACTTATATTGCTCGTAAGGACAGCCCAATTTGCTCATGCTTCCTTTCATCTAATAATTAGGGGAACGTGGAAAAGTAATACAATGTGCAGACCATTGGAAAGCTTAGCCAACCTCCCGGCCAAAATTCTCACTTTAAACACACAAGAAGCGAACTTACCTACGTAAGTTGAGTAAATTCAAGATTATATGACGCTAATGCTGAACAGCACTAACAAATTTGAAATTATGAGAGAGAATGAGAAAAAGTCACTTCGCCTCTCTCGCTCACTTTATTTAAAATATCCAATTAATTATTCTTTTTGGCTGAAATGATCATAACCTCTTAACCTTGTATTGGTTAGCGTAACATCTTATTTTCCATAAAATTGATGCCAAAGTGTAAATACCAACTATATTAGTTTAAGGGCAATCGGTTTTAGCTGCTCTACATATTTTTGATGAGTAATTCCAGAAAGTTCACAGAAGTACATAATTGTTTTTATTGCATATAAAAAACGTATGGTTTGTAATTTCAAATGGACTAACGAATCAGAAGCGAATGCATTCAATTCGAATTTTATTTGCTATGACGGGATAATCGGTTTTTTATTACATAAATCAAGTTAGGTTGGAAAAGCCAAGCCTACTTTGATGTCATTTTTATAGAATGTAGGTGCATTGATCACGCTTCCATGACCACAATAGATGACACTTAAAAGTCCTTTATTCTGTCTTATACTCTGGCCTCATAGAATGTTGGCGATTGAAGTGCTTTTAAATCGCGTTTAATTAAGGGCCGAGAAAAGGATTTTGACTTCGACTTTGAATTTTTAACCTAACAAGCCTTGCAACAAATTCAAAATTTTTCATTTCTTTAGTAGAGAAACTCCAAGAATATTTATAGTTCTGTACAGTAAAATGATTCAGCACAATTGAATTCAAAAAAATTATTTTTTTCAGCCATAAATGTTTCAGAACCGAAATACGCTCCTTGAGCCATCAATCATGACAGGGAAGTAAAAATTTCACAATTTTCATGAATTTTAAGTGGTGAATAGTGTTAGCACGCTTATGGTCAATTTGCTCCAATTGAATGGTTTTCTATGAGGCAAGGAATCAAAATCATATCACAGGTTTATTTTAAATCTGAATAAAATTTTATGCTAGTTTAATTCACTTACTTCGTGATTCGCCAAATTTTGGGGTTTGTGTGTGTTTAATTTTGGGTTTATTTACTTAAATTTACTTCTTAGTATTTCACATAATGCCTCAAATAATTAGGCCCAATCCTTCCATGGATGATGTTGTTTTAAGTGAGTATACATTTGCAATAGTACAAATAGATTGGATCTATGAGAGGTATTCACATTTTACCCGAAATCACACAAGGTACCCGAATAACGAAATTCAGTACTATTGCAATTCCTTAAAGGAGTACATTTATGGTATACAACAAATAGCTTGCATTGCTGAGGAGTTACTTTATGAAATATGCCGAAATAATAATTTACTAAGTGCAATCAATAAAGCTCCAATGAAATTGTACACTGCACAACTCGAAATCTTGACGCATAAAATTGGACTTACGAAAAAATGGCTCAATAAGGTTGAGCGAATTCAGAACTACCATTCTTATCGCTGGAATGAAAATGCTAGAAGGTAAATGTACAGAATAATACCATCTTGTATGCCAGCATGGATTTCATCAAATAAAATTAATATTCAAATGTCCTACTTTGCCCTTCTTCCATTTTCTATGTCAAAATTTCTAAAATCTATTTTGTGTCCAATGTTTAACCAAAATGCCAGATACGAAACGTTCCTGCAATTTCCTTTTGGATCTGCACTAATGGGGTAATGTTTACTACCCAAAAGCCTTTATATAAACCCTATGTATATATACCCCCCCCCCTCTTTGTGAAGCCAGAATTCAACTAAGGCGACAAATGATAAATAGCATAACGTTTTCTACTAGATAAAAATAAATTTGTTGCTTGCTGAAGCTGTGAATAACTATTGTCTGTGTCTTGATCCCAAATCCGCGCCTAAGCATTCTTATTGGTTAGATGTTCCAAATTAATATGATATTGCTAATGGAGCGTTCTTGGGTGTTGTCTTACCAAAGTTGCCTTAATGTCACCAACCAATTTTTTCAAATTTTTCAACCAACATTTCAATACGGATATCCCATCTTCCCAATTTAAATTCTTGAAGTGGCCAAGGAAACGGTACGTCCACATGTCGTCGCCATCTCCTGTCGAGGATCCACAAAAAAGCATTGAGGCAATGTTTATTTAACTGCCAAAGGTTTCTATTCCAGCATTTATTTCAAAATACTCTAGTGAGCAATTCCAATGGTAGTAACGATGCATTTTTTAATGCCAGATTGATTCATCTATCAATCGCACAAGTCATGTACTATTGGCCTTAGCCCAGGTGATAATATCAAAGTATTTGTATCCAAGATCACATAGATCAAATGAGTAATTAACTACTTGAAAACAAAAGAGTCATCGAAAATACCACTTAAGGAGGTTTCTCATTCATAAAAACATCAACTTCTCTCAACTTCAAGATCATGCTAAAGGTTCTTAAAAGCAACCATATATCAGTGGATCTCGTCTTTATCACCATTATCTCATTCAAATTCGAGACACATTTAAAACTTAAAGTAGAAGTTTGGTTAATATGACAAACAGATCATTGTTTTTTGAAAGTGTGAACACTGTCAATACTTTGTTTTACTCAAACAATCTAATTTGAGGGACTTTCTTCACAAATATGATCACCTTCTGAGAACTCATGCTCATTCTAGCTTTTCCAAGACACAGAATGTCACCAAAATTACAAACAAACACGGGTTCACTGACTTCCAGCTGAACGATTAAGTCAATCTCTGTAGAACTAACTTTTGCTAAAACTCATAATTAGTGCTGTGGAAGACAAAGCAGCTTTACTCTGAAAAAACTGCTACATACTGCATTACAATAGAACTAGAACAATCCCTGACTTGGCCCTGCCTTCAAGCGACATCTGCGAGCAGACGACGTTCAAGCATGAGTACGGCAGTCAGCTGTAATATAGCAAGCCATTTTACAATAATAACGGACTATATTCAATAGCTTCATCTCAAGTCACAACTACAAAATGATAGCTAACGCAAATGCAAATTCCTGGGTAACTTTCAAAACATCAAGAAAAGACAAAAGGAAGAGGCAATAAACTGCAACAACAAACTGCTTACCATCAACTCCGAAATAGCTTACTACTTTGAGAGGTTCTATTCCCAAAAACTAAAGAAAAACTCTTTTGTCAGACACTCTTTGAGAAATATAAAGAAATAGGGGAGAAAGTTTGGTGGAATTAAGGAAGACACAATAATACCACACAATGTACTTACTGAACCATTCAGACCTCGCAAACGAAATACTGCGATTAAACAACTGAAGTTCACAACATCTCCTGGTGAAAACGTTCACCATCCAGAATTTCAAATTAGAATGGGCTAAAAGTCAAGGAAATCATGATGAGACCTTTCAACAAAATTTAGAAGACCAGTCTCGTATCTACCCAATGGACATTTGTCATAGTGATACTAATACAAAAGGTGCAAAGACATTAGAATCTCTGACAGCTATAGGCCTATCTCCTTCATAAGCATGTTGGCCAAACTTATAGAAAGAATGATTAGCACGAGGATGACCTGGTTCTTTAAAATGAACAACGTTCTAAGTCACAAAGAAGCAGGATTCATTCCAAAAAGATCTCTAAAACAGCTTGTAGTCACTCTCCCCCTACATATTAAAGATTCCATTGATGCAAGAAATACTATTACGAGTGTATTCATCGATTCCAAATCAGCATATGACCTAGTATGGAAAAAGGACCTAATTTTAAAATTTTCGAATAATGGTATAAAGCATAACATGCCAAACTGGATAAAAGCATTCATTCGACAAAGAACATGTAAAGCCAGATATCCAAATGATCTGTCCAAATCTAATCATTTGCAAACAGCCAAAGCACATTGCGCCTTCATAAACTGGAACAGACAGTCACGGGCATCCAGTGCTTACTTTTTACAGATTATCTTGTTCTATGGTATTGCGAACCCCCCCCCCCATTCAAGCAAAAACCCCTAGAGGAGGATAGATAGTACCATAAATTATGTACTCAAGCAATTAGGAAATTGGTACGACAATAACGGAATGGTTATCAACACCTTGAAAAACGTATTCAAATAATTGTCATTTGGCGGCCCCTACAGATATCCGCACTTAAGGTACAAAGATACTTCTCTGAAAAAAAAAACCAACGAGTTCACTTATCAGGGAAATACGTTTGACGCAAAAATAACATGGAAGAGGCAGCCAGAGGGTTCAATGGACACTCTGAACCAGGCCGTGGTGACTGTTATTTGGCTATGTGGTGTCTCGTTAGTTCTTATAGAAGGCAACCAATATATTCTCCAATGAGCCTATCTCCCATTTCAGCGACTCACCTACAAACCGTGGACGGAAGTATTTCTGCTGACTGCCTATGTGTCTGCCAGATAGCCTTAATTGCAGATATGAACATTGGTTCCACAGATTCTTTAGTCTTGCGTTATAGCGGAAGTGTCCCAGTTGAAAAATGTCTACTAAACAACTCTATTCCTCTTCATGCACACCCTAGCAGGACGAATTCGGAACAACGTTTATCAATATTAGGTTTGCGATATTTGAAGGGAAAGCACACTCCCTTTCGTATCTCATTCAATCATAATATTAGTCACCTTGAGCATGTATGGGCCAAATTCCCCCCTACCCCTCTCTCCACGATTCAAGCTTCTTGGCAAAAGGAGACAAAGATTTGCTTCTTTAATTTACTTCTGCCTCTCCTCTTATATCCGTAAATCACTTTTCTTTTCCAATCATTCCTTCACTTTCTCAACTTTCAACTCTCTCCCCTCTATAAAGCCCGAAGTCAACTAATGGTCTAATGATGACTATAGTAAAGACTGTAATTTGATATTAATAACTCTCCTTTTCAACTGTCACAATCACTCACTCACCCAAACCAGCATTCCT